TCTTTATTTCCTTCTTTATTTCCTTCCTTCCTTCTTTATTTCCTTCTTTATTTCCTTCCTTCCTTCCTTCCTTCCTTCCTTCCTTCCTTCCTTCCTTCCTTCCTCTCTCCCTTTTTTCCTTCCTTCCCTCTCTTCTTTTTCCTTCCTTCCTTCCTCCCTCTCCTTTCTCTCTCTTTCTCTCTCTTTCTTTCTTTCTCTTTCTTTCTTTCTTTCTCTTTTCTTTCTTTCTTTCTTTCTTTCTTTCTTTCTTTCTTTCTTTCTTTCTTTCTTTCTTTCTTTCTCTTTCTCTCTTTTCCTTCCTTCCTTCCTTCCTTCCTTCCTTCCTTCCTTCCTTCCTTCCTTCCTTCCTTCCTTCCTTCCTTCCTTCCTTCCTTCCTTCCTTCCTTCCTTCCTTCCTTCCTTCCTTCCTTCCTCTCTCCCTCTGGCTTTAGACCTAACCTACACACAAGTTGTATCATGTTCCTGGTGACCTAACTCACAGGAGTCTTACTTCACCTATTATTCACTGTTCCTTTCTTCTCATTCAGAGGTCAGGGCTCCATTTGTCTTCTGTTTAGCTAGGCCTGTCAATCTCTCCTGACCAATGGTTTACCCATACTAAATGATCATAGCAAGGGTAGTCATTTACAAGGCTTCTGTATCCTTGGGAACTGACTGGGCTTCTGTTAGGGGAGATATTCAAGGAGGAAGACTGGAGTGGAAAAGTGGAAAGATCACTTTAGTTGGAGTCAGAGGACCCAGTCAAATTCCATGTGATTTCCAAATTCCAAATTCCACTATTAGGTATTTTCCCCAACTGTGCTTGTCTTTTCTCCCCAGCAGTACTGCATGTGTAAAGGGCAGGAATCACGCCTTAGTTTTATTTGTATCTCCCAGAAGATAAAAAATAAGGCCTTGTGCAGAGCATATTCTCAATAAAGGCCTGCTGGTTAACTGATTAATTGATGAGGAAGAAGATGAGAGAGTATCTGCAAGTAGAGAGAAGCCACATGTAAGCCATCCCCTTTGCCTTTCAACAGAGAATATTGATGTGGCCCAGTACAAAGAGTATTGCATTGATAATCAGAGGTACTAGGTTCTTACGGCTCTACCACTGATTTGCTATGGGTTTCAATTCTGGCACTGCCATGTATCTACCTCATCTTGGGCAAGTATCTTAACTTTGCTAGGCCTCAGTTTCCTCACATGCAAAATGGAAGATTTAGACCCAATGACTTCAAAGCTCCTTTCTGGTCCTAAGACTATGATTTTATGATCGATACAGGAACCCATCATTTTAAAGGACTGTCAAAACTGGGGCCTCTCTGTTGATGGCTGGCTCTTATCTCCGCCATGTCAGGAACCCAAATGCTAGGTATGCCAACTAGCTTCCAGATTTGAAGTAGAAAGCCACAGCATATGCTATTAGAATAGGGGATCCTTGAGGGCAGGAACTGTTTTATACTTGTCAGCAGCTAGCAAGCTATTAATAAATATGTGTTGAGTGACTGGTTGATTTTCAGGGAACATCTATAATTTACGATATTCAAACAAAGGCTATAGGGAGAACACATGGATGGTTCTATAACTGGAACTACTCACAGGTCCTGGTTTACATTCTTTCTGAGATGCATTTACTGCCCACACTCAACCAGGAGCTGGTCAGCTTTGCTGGAATTGTAGAATAGCCACACTGATCATTTGGGGTACATTTATACTCCAGAATAAACAAGTTACTTGTAACCATATTTTATTCATAGCAGAAGGAGCCCCTCAATTCCACACAACTAGGTGGTACAATACATGGAGCTGGGCCTAAGCTTCAGACATTTGCTAGTTGTGTGACTGAACAAGTCGCTGCTCTGTTTGCCTGTTTTCAGACCTATAAAATGGGGATAATAATGGTATCTACCTCGTAGGGTTATTGTGAAGATCAATTTAGATGTTATTTATAAAAAATGCTTTGAACAGTACCTGGCACATAGGTTCTATATAAATGCTTATTCTCTCCCCCTTGCTTCTATGTACTTATTAACCTACCATTTAGAAGTAAGAATGACCACCATGGTTAAGATCTCTTTCATGCTGGGTTCTTATGGATTTAGCTGTTTCTTTTAATGTATATATGTATATATTTATGTAGATACATGTGTGTACCTGCATATGTGTATATATGCATACACATACATATATGTGTGTATATAATATATAGTATATGTGCATACACACCCACCCACCTCTCCTTCTGAGGAAAGGGCCCACAATAGCCAGAATGGCTCATTCTCTTCTATATGCTCCACTCCTCATCTCATTGAATCCAAATCTTGCCACCAATCACACATAATCACAGATTCATAGAATGTTAAGCACCAGAAGGGCCCTTAGATGGAAAAACATCAGGACTTGTACAGACCTTAGAAAAAATTCAGTCCAATCCCTTCTTTTTTACAGAAGGGGACACTGAGTCTTAGGGGCATGAAGCAGAGCTGAGGCTGGAGCTGAAGTCATTTGACACCTGATCCAGCAATCTTCCCACTCTGCCAAACTGCCTTGGCTACCCTTATCCCACATGTCAATACACAGCTGGCCACCACCCTCCTCAGGAGAGACAGCTCATAAATTATGAAAAATGAATGCTACAGTTAACGGAAAATCAAATTTATCTGACATAAAAAACCCTGAGCGGCATTGATTTCCATACGGCCTGCCCCACATACCCTTTTAAGCTGGTGGAATATGAGTCAATAGAAGGAAGACAATAAATATTGGAGACTTTTTAATGTGCGTCTATTTTTTACTATGCTGACTCGAATCATTTTGGTTTCTGGCGGCCCAGCTAAGACTCTTCCAATATATGAGCTGACTTGTTTATTTAGGGAATTTATTCTTTCAAGTTGGAAATGTTTCTTGTGGCCACTTTGCTCTTTGGCCTTTTCTGTCTTTTCCCAGGAAACTACTCCCTTTTCATCCTGGCCCATTAGCTCTATAAGTCAGAACACGTGGCGAAGGAAGCCAAAGCCTTGGTTTGGATTCCTGCAAGAGTCAGTCACTATCTCCTGGCTTCTAGATGGATGGGTGGAGGGGTCAAATCTCTGACCCTGGCTCGCTGAGAGACATTGGTAACCAAATGGACTGTGCTAGAGAGGGAGAATGATTCCCTGAAAACCTTCACCTGGGAATGGATGTGCAAAGAAACGTGCCTCCTCATCCCTGGTGAAACAAATCATTATTTACACAGTCTGGAATCAAATGGTAAGAAACTGTTTAGAATACAACACTGCTGTTCTTGATCAGGTAGTATTCTAGAGTCTTACATCCAAATTGGATTCATCTCTAAGGAATTATAGAACTTTAGAATTGGAAGGGACCTTATACAGGTATTAGACCTGGCAGGGATGTCAGAGTATGAAATGACAGAGCTGGGAGAGACTTTAAGGGCACAGAATGTGAGCACTAGAAGGGGTCTTAGGGCATGGACTGTCAGAGCTGGAAGGGACCCAGGAGCATAGAATGTCAGAGTTTGGAGGGATCTTCGAGCATGGAATGTCAGAGCTGGAAGGGACTGTAGAGCATGTAGTATCAGAACTGGAAGGGACCTGAGTACATGAAATGTCAGAACTGGATGGGACTTTAAAACTCAGACTGGTAGAATATTGAATCACAGAACATTAGAGTGGAAGGCACCTGAAAACACAGAATGTTAGAGTTGGATAGGACCTTAGAACACAGAATGCTGGATAGAATGCCAGCGCTGGGAGCGCTCAGAAAAAGAATCAAATGATGGACAGAAGGGACATAAGACATAGAATGTTAATGCACTGAAAAATAAACATGATCCTAGATAATGTCAGTGCCAACTGTCCCATTTTAAAGGGGAGGAAATTGAGGCCGAGACTTCTATTCTCACATGGTTAGTCAGTAGTAGAGCAGACAATTAATTTTCCAGTTTTACAGATTGTAAAGCAGCCTGGCAAAGAGACATCCACTCACTTATGTTGTGTGATTAGTAAAATGTAGGGCTTTTAGTTAATTTACAATCAGAAGACCAATAGGGGACAGAGAGAAAATAGAAAAATCAAGTTTTATGGTACTAGGCATGTGGCTCAGTATACTCATGTTTAAAATAAAAATATTTTTGTCTGTTTCCCTAATTTAAAGAGTTGTTATGAGGAAAGTCCTTTTTTTTTCTTTTTCTTTCTTTCCTCCTTCCTACTCCCTCCCTCCCTTCCTTCCTTCCTTCCTTCCTTCCTTCCTTCCTTCCTTCCTTCCTTCCGCTCCTCCTTCATAGATATGATTTCATAGATATAGGGAGTTTCCACTAAGGAAACTTCCAATAAAGCTTGGCTGCCAGAAGAAGTTCCACAATTTATAGTCTTTAAATTTTTTAAAAAATTTTTGGAGGCAACTGGGGTTGAGTGACTTGCTAGGATCACACAGATAGTGTCTGAGGCCTCATTTGAATTCAGATCTTCTTGATTCCAGGGCTGGTGCTCTATCTACTGTACCACCTAGCTGCCCCCACAATTTAGAAAGTTGCCTAAGATCACTGAGAGAGTGGCTAAGTGGTTTGCCCAGGGTAACAGAACAGGCAGCAGTAAGGGGCAGGACCTGAACCCAGATCTCCCTGAGTTTGGCAGCTCTATCTACTGTGTATTGCTGTTTCTCTTGTGGACCTTCAAGCATTATGATAATGTGAGTACTTATTATCACCTTGCATTACTTTTCATCTGTCCCCTATGTTGGGGTTCTGCTTCCCCAGAAGGGCCAGCTCTGGATCTTGGGACACCTAGCCTAGCCAGCCTTCTTTCCACGGCACCACCCTTGTAGAGACCCAGAACCAAAGCTTGTCATTCTGTCACATGCCCCACAGAACCTAACAGACATGGTCCTCACTGACCATACTCATGGCCTCTTGCCACTGTTCTACTCTTGGATACTTTTTTGCTCCCTTCCTCCTTCCCTCCCACCAGCAAGGATTGTGCCAGGCCAGAGGATGGAGAACTTGGCCGCAATCTGCTCACCTGCTCGGCAGAACTCATCCGCCTCCTGGTGTACCATGTCTTTGACCCGGCTGCCATAAGTTAGGCGGGCATCTTGGTCATAGGCCTTCAGGGTCTCACTGGAGCTGTAGGACTTTTGGGGTACTTTGCCCTCTTCGCTTTCTGCTGAGGAGCTGGTATAGCGGCGTTCAGTGTCCCGGCGCCGGGTTAGGGAACGGTACGGCTTCCTTTCCTTCACATCCATGGCGCCCACCGCAGGCTTTTCAGCATCCAAAAACAGAGTCCTTGCAGCAATCAAATCAGAATCTTCTGTAGGGGACAGACAAAAGAATCAGGGTGAGCTCATGCCAGGGTAATTGCTCAAGGGCTCCCCTTAACACTGGCTTCCAAAGTTGTGCTCTCCAGTTCTGCCTGTGACTGAGTAGCTGCTCAGGGCACCTTCAGAGCCCCAAACCACAGCAGCTCAGAGCTAGAAGGAACCTGAAAACCTAGCTAATTAGTGCAGAGAACACAGAACATTAGAGCCAGAAATGACCTTAGAACACAGCATTGTAGAAAGAGAACATAAAATAATGAGAACCATAAAATACCTTAGAATACAAAATTTTAAAACTGAGAATGTAGATTTTAATGGTTGCAAGGGACTTTAAAACACAGAACATATGAGCATAAGGATAAAACTGAAAGGAAATTGAGAGTATAGAAATAGAATTTTATAGCTGGCAGAGACCTTCACAATCTTACCTTACACAGGTAAGCAAAAAAAAAAAAGCCAGAGGAGGGAAGGGCCCTGACCAGAGTCACAAAGGGACTCAGTTATGGCAGAGCAGGGACTGGAAAGCTGAGTCTTCTCGCCCCTAACCTGGTGCACTAACTATTGCACTTCACTGCCTCATGGTAGTCACAAAAGAGAGTAGCAACTGCTGTGACTGTCAGTTGTTGTTTTTTTAATTTTCCCATTAGTCATGTTGTAAAGAAGAATTAGAACCAATAACAGGAACCACAAGAAAGAAGAAACAAAACAAAACAGAAGAAAAAAAGAGCAAATAGTCTGGTTCGATTTGCATTCAAACTCCATAGTTCTTTCTTTGGATGTGGTTAGCATTTTCCATCATGAGACTTTTGGAGGTATATGACTGTCAGCTTTAAAAATACATAAAAAACATAAAGAGGATAACAAAAATAACCCATGCTCTTTTTTAAAAAAATTAAATTATTTTTTCTTTTGAGATTGGGTCTCCCTATCTTCTCCAAGATGGAAGGACAATTGTTCCTCAAGGTCCAGCACCACCACTAAGCAGCATAAATCTCTGAGCCACTCTGCAGATTCCCTGGGCCAATTTGTCCCTCGTTAGGCGACCTCGTGGCCCGGCGGCTCCTGTGCACTTATCATATCAGTGCCAGACTCAGTGTAGACACCTGACTGGTTTTACTACAGCTCAGAACACCAGAGCTCAAGCCATCCACCAGCCTTAGCCTTCCCAAGCAGCAGGGAATCACAGGCCTACACCACCACACTTAGGCAATGACCTGTATTCTTGAGAACCCAGTAACTTGAGAGCCATTTTGTTCTTTTTGTAAATGTAGCAATAATATCAAAGATAAGTGTCAGAAAAAGTATAGCAGTCTAGTTTAGGAAAATATGTGTTCACAGCTTCTAAATTTTAATGAAAGAAATTGCTTTTAAGGTTCCCAATAGATCTCTGGTTATACTCAAAGAAATCATACATTTGTCTCAAATTTCTGCTGCAATGCTTAAGCAGAATTGTACTGCCCAGCTCCACTTAATAGTAAGTAAGATGAGAAGTGTTTCTTATCATTAAAGAGACAGCAAAGACAGAAATGGAGTCACACGAAATATATTTGAGTTTTAACCTTTACTGGGTCAGGGATGCCTTTGGCAGTCTGATGAAGCCAATGCATTCCTTCTCAGAATAATATTTTTAAATGTGTAAAACAAAATATACAAGATTAAAAAGGTAACCAATTACATTGAAATAGTTATCAAAATAATAAAAATAATAAAATTAAGGTTACAGACCCCAGGTTTAGAACTCCATTCTAGATTGACCACTCTACCAATGTGACCTGAGGCAATGCCTGAAGAACTCTAAGAATCTATTTCATCATGTGGGTGATGGAAAGAACAGTTCTTCATTACTATTTCATAGGTGCAGCTTGGTGGTGCAGTAGATAGAATACTGGGCCTGGAGTCAAGAAGACCTGAGTTCAAAACCAGCCTCGGGTACTCACTGGGTGACCCTGAGCAAGCCACTTCACCCTGTTTGCCTCGGTTTCCTCATCTGTAAAATGAGCTGGAGAAGGAAATGGCAAACCACTCTAATATCTTTGCCAAGAAAGCCCCAAATGAGGTCACAAAGAGTCAGACATAACTGAACAAGTCACTTAACCCTGTCTGCCTCAGTTTTCTCATCTGTAAAATGAGCTGGAGAAGGAAATGGCAAACCACTCTAATATCTTTGCCAAGAAAGCCCCAAATGAGGTCACAAAGAGTCAGACATAACTGAACAAGTCACTTAACCCTGTCTGACTCAGTTTTCTCATCTGTAAAATGAGCTGGAGAAGGAAATGGCAAACCACTCCAATATCTTTGCCAAGAAAACCCCAAATGGGGTTACAAAGAGTTAGACATGAATGAAAAATGACTCAGTAACAAATATTTCACAGGGTTGGTGCAAAAGAATAGGTTAAATAATAAATATATGGAATTTTTCATTTTCCAAAGACATAGACTGAAACCCTATATGAGAGTAAAGGATCCAGTCTGAGACTTGATATAGTTCAAATATTCACCACTCTGTGGTTGACCTGGTAATGAACCTCCCCAAATATAGCCAGGCTGGCCTTCTGATAGCAGATACTGGACATACATGCTAAACCCTTCCAGACTGGTAGGGACCAACAGAGAAAACACAGTCACCTCTAGGCCACAGTGAAGACTTAGCTATTTAAATGGAAGTTATTTTTATTATGAGAATATCATTATGGCTATTATTATTATCAGCACCATTATTTCTTTAAGGAATCTGAGCACCAAAGATACAGCTAGGAGTCAAAGGTTGTTCAATTAGCAAAATTAAAAAAACACTTGCATTCTTTGTTGTCTAAGTAGAGGCTGGGGGAGAGGATCATTTAGAATTTTCTTTACTTTCTTCTCCTCTCCCACCTCCTTCTTCCCTTACTAATTCTTCTGATGCGTGTCCAAGTCATTGGCATTTTCTCCCTCTTGGAATTGCTTTTTATCTATTTTATTTTATTTTTTTTCTTTTTGGTGAGGCAATTGGGGTTAAATGACTTGCCCAGGGTCACACAGCTAGTAAGTGTCAAGTCAAGTGTCTGAAGCCAGATTTTAACTCAGGTCCTCCTGACTCCAAAGCTAGAGCTCTATCCACTGCACCACCTAGCTGCCCCTTTTTATTTCTTTATATGTATTTTGGATTGACTTATTTAAGTACATGGTATATCCTTGTTCCCCTTCTTCCACTGTGGAGCCTGGTGGTGAAGTAGATAGATGCCAGGCCTGAACTCAGGAAGATGAGTCTTCCTGAGGTTAAATCTTGCTTCACACACTTACTGGCCTTATGACCCTGGGTGAGTCACTTCACTTTGCTTGCCTTGGTTTCTTCATCTGTAAAATGAGCTGGAGAAGGAAATGACAAACCACTCCAGTACCTTTGCCAAGAAAATCCCAAATGCGGTCATGGAGAGTCAGACACACCTGCACAACAATCTCTTCCACTGGTACAATATTAGCTCCCCAAAGCCAAGAATGCTTTCATTTTTCGTCTTGGCGTCCCCAGTGCAAAGCAGCTACCTAATAAGATGTCTGCTGGGTTGGCGTGCCTTCCTTTCCTTTCTGCTTACCCCCTTCCTTTCTCCCCCTCTTCTCTGGAGGGGGAAGTCTTTTGTCCCTATTCTAGAATGACATCACTTTTATCTCACTTCTACTTCTTTTTACAATTCAGGCTTTAAAGAGTAAATCAGTAAATATTTATTTTTATGACCAGGAAGGGCATTGGCAATGTTCCATTTGGCATTTAGCATCAGTGGAAGGAAGAAATCTGGAGGAAAAAAATGTGGCAGGGGAAGACAGATCCCTTCAGGCTAGCAGGCCCACTCAGGGATGATGTAGCAGAGGTCTTCATAGCAGAGTCACACGATTAGTGAAAATAATGCTGGATTATATGTTCTTTAAGGCCTCTTTCAAGCCCCAAATCATATGATCCTAAGAGTAGGAATTAGCAGACATCACTATGTTAAGTTTTTTAGTTGTGTCTGACTCTCCATGACCCCATTTGGGGTTTACTTGGCAGAGATACTGAAGTAGTTTGCCATTTTCTTCTCCAGCTCATTTTACAGATGAGGAAACTGAGGCAAAGAGGGTTAAGGGACTTGCCCAGCATCACAGTAAATATCTGAGGTCAGATTTGAGCTCAGGAAGAGAAGTATTCCTGACTCAAGGTCAGGCGCTCTATTCACTGCACCACCTAGCTGCCCCATCACTACAGGCTATCGCAATGAGTAGCTGTGTGACCTATGGGAAGCCAGTTTTCTGTCTCCAGTTTTCTCATCTGTAATATGGCAGGATTGAACTAATGCTATACAGGCCAATCTCTTAATTTTATAGAGGAAACTGAGGCATAGAGAGGTTAAGAAATTTTCTCAAAGGTCACATAGTTGGTACAAAGCCTAGATTAGAAGCCAGTAGTCAGGCAACAAGCATTTATTAGGTGCTTACTATGTGCCAGGGACTATATTATTCAGGGCACAAAGAAAGGCAAACAGCACAGTCCCTGCCCTCAGGGAGCTCACATGTACAAACTATACTCAAATAGATCATGTATACATGATAGATATGGCACAAACGTAAAGTAATCTCAGAGGGAAAGTACTAGCAGTAGTGGGGACCAGGAAAAGCCTCCTGTAGAGGGTAGGATTTAAGCCGAGGCCTGAAGGAAGCGAAAAGGCAGAGATGAGGAGGCACAGCATTTCAGGTATGGGGGACAGTGAGTTTTCTATCACTGGAGGTTTTCAGGTAGTGGTTGGAGGATACCATGTCCGTGGGGATTGAACAGATGGTCTCTTTATGACTCTTCTCCTCTCACAGCTTAAGATTTGATGATATGATCAGAAAACTGCTTAAGAGCCTTTGGGCTCAGGAAGGTAACTGGAGGAGGGAGCACAGTATGAAGTCCCAGGGTCCTGTGACCTCTGGACACAGGCATGGCTGAAGGAATAAGGACTTATAAAGATGTTATCAAGGCAATCACTGTCAATGGACC